ACTTATATTGAAATCAAAAACTTTCTAGGTATGTGTTATAGTACTTACATAAGAATTTAAACAAGTACCTATAGATTTAAGTAATTATCTATTTGTCGAGTGATTACTAAAAAATCAACATAATTGGGTAAACCCGAGAGAAATGGACCAGTGAGAGAGAGTGGGAGTTTGGAAGTTAGAACTCTTCAAGGGCTCCATCTCACTTATACTCCTAGTATACAGGGTGCGGCAGAACTCGCGCCCCAGAGAAAAATTTCAAGTAAGATAAGTTACCAGGAACATGAAAAAAATGTTTAAAAAATTCGATCTGTCAAATAATTTTGACATTTTTTTGTGTCTATTTAATAGGGTAAACTTGGTATAGATGCCCCCTTGGGATATATGGCCACTTATTTAAAAATTGCGCGTTTGCAGTAGCTTTTCTGCAGTTTGGCCATCCAATTTTTGGTTTTTTAAATTTTAGATGTTAGGCAAAACCTGGACAGTTTTCTTGCTTCTGTCATTCGTGTATCTGGCATTAAAGGTAAGTACTTTTTAAACCGGTACTTGAACGTTGGGATTGTAGAAATGAAATTTTGGTTTTAACTAATTCAAACACATAATTTTAGCATATCGGTTGTTTTGTTGCAAAACTAATGTTTTTTTTTACTCCTTTTTTGACGTTATATTTGCGCTTTTTTAATGTTTGACATAGTTATTTAGAAGGGCATCTATCCCCAACAGTGAGGATATATGCCCTCTCAAATTATGGGATWTACGCCGTTACWAAACATGTAGTGTTTTTCTCTTCTAGAGTGACAAAATGCCACGAAAATACGTTCGGAAGCCAAATTGTAAGCCCCGAGCTTATGGAAAGACATCCTGAATTATCGGTTAGACAAAGTGAAGGCCTCTCAGTTGCTCGAGCCAAAGGAATGTGCTGAGAAAAAATCGAAAAATTTTGTTGATAACAGTTGTGAAATTATTAATATTAGTGATATGCCTTCTGGTTTTTTTGAACTTGATGAAAATTACATATTTGCGGAAGATAACTCTCTGTTAAAAGACATAAACTTTAATAATATGTCAAATAATGTTGTTAATGTAGTACATACATCATTCACCTGAACATGACTTTGACCAACAGGTGGTATCTGAAAATATCATAGAAGTACCAACACCTTCAAAAATTTTAGAAAATCTTGTACCAGTTTCGAAAATTCCTGTTACAAAAAGTAAACGAAAAAGATCTGTTACTATTCTAACAAAAAGTGATAAACTCAGTGTCAAAAAGTGTATAACACAGAAGACAGAAACCTTAATGAAAAATACAATTAGAAAAGTTGAAGACAAAAAAGCTAAAAAAAAAAACTAAAAAAGAAAGGTGTCATAAAGGATCAAGAAAATGCGAGTAGTTCCGATGAAGACGCAAAATGTGCTGAATGTTTGGAGGACTACTATAGTACAACTTAAAGAAGTGATTGGATTAAATGTGTAGATTGCAGTCATTGGCTACATGAAACGTGTAGGTACAATGTATGATCCCAGATGTAATGAATGCAGAAGAAAATTTAAGCGATTGGAAAAAAAGTGCAAAAAAAGAATTTAGTTATTTTTGTTACTTTTATGTATATCTACTAAAAATGTAAAAATCAAATTTCTAAGTTTAAAATATTTTTTTAATAATTTTTTACTCCAAAATTTAAAATAAATACTTTTGTTTAAGTAAATATGCCTACTATCCCACAAAGTGGCGTTAATCCCATACATCAAAGGCAACTATACCTTAATGCCGGATAGTTGGCCATTTTAAAGATTGCACAAAAATGACTTTTATAACTTTAAAAAAGGTTTAAAAAATTTTAATCAGTATAAAATGACGTCTAAATTAAGAGCAAAATTAAAATAAAAAAGTCTTAATTTAGTAAAATAAGTTAAATTGTCTGTTGAAGAAAAATTAGTTTTGGGGGGCATATATCCCGAGTTTACCCTAATACTGATAATCTTGTATGTATGTTTTTTTCTCAATTATTGAGTAAAAGTACAAAAATTTTGCCAGTAAAAGCCACAAATAAGATTGAACAGAGTTACAATTTAAAATACACCTTCTTTGTTTCTTCTTTCTAATAGACTGTAGCAAAAAAACTTGGAAAATTATTTTTCCAACAGAAATAAATAAAGTCAAGGTGCAAATTTTAACTCTCATAACTTCGAAATTTTTTTTAACATTTTTTCGTGTTCCTGGCATCTTACCTTTTTCTGTAATTATAAAATGTCAACGTGATCGAAAATTTTTAGCACCTTGCACAGTCGTCTCAGTTCAACGGCGGCAAGTTTTCATGTATAACATAAATTATACCTAATCTAAAAGTTTTTTATTCAAGTTTCGAAATTTGATCCGAAGATCAGAAGTAATTTAGTGTATATCTTTCCTCTCGGAAATAGATGGATTACCTTTATTGAAGACAGTTTTTCTATGTATCGTGAATGGAAGCATCATCATACATCCAATTTACATTAGAAAAAAGTGCGCCAAATGCAGATAAACGGTAAAAAAAATTACAAAAGACAATAAATGCCGTAACTATTAAGAAAATACTTAAAATGGAGGGCCGCCGCAAGAGGTTTCAACGCCTGCGTGCAAATTTTAATTTGGCGCCCCCTTTTTTTGTTTATAAAGTATGGGTATTCCTTTGTACATAGAAAAAATATATTCAGAGAATTTTGTTAAGATCAAAAAGTAAAAAGAAGTTTTATTAAATTTGGTTATCAAGAAGTGTCAATAAATTAAAGTAAAGAAATATTAATTAAAAAGTATTTAAAATGTTGTTATTGTTGTTAATAATCAAATAAGTTTTACATTGAAAATTTTACTTAAAAAAAAACTGTACTTTTCTAAATTTCATACTAACTTACAGTCCCGTTTAATCAAATTTGATAAGACCGAGGAGAGGACCAACGCTACGAAATAAAAATTCGGTTAAAGCGGAACAAAGAATTTTTACATTTTTAAGCTTTTATTTGAATGATATTTTGTAAAATGAAATATTAGATTCTGAAGAAAATCGTGATGAAACAACTAATACAATTTTGTAAAAGGCATGTAAAGGAGTTTTATGGGTAGTAGCAATATTCCAAATATTTTCATCAGAGTATCAAAAAGTCTAGGTACAGATATGACACCGCAATTGTTTAACTGCATCTATTTTGTCCGGACTTCCGGACCTCCAATATGATGAATTCCTCCGCATATTGTGGTGTAGTTTGTTTTAAATTTTGTTTGTTTATTTTTTTTTGCATCTATTGTTTGAGTATTAAAATTTGTTGCTTGTCTGGCGCCCCCCGACTATGGCCCCCGCATGCGCCGCACGCCCTGCACCCCCGCTTGTGGCGGCCCTATTACCTACCTACCAAAATTAACATTTTTGAAGTTAGTAAATTAAATTCACAAATTTTGTACATGAATAGATCAACAATGCAGAAAACACTGTTAACAAAAAAATAATAATTAGAAACTATTCCGCCCGTGGCACATACAGTGTGGAAAAGAGGGACTTTTACATATCAGAATATTATTTTTTATGTACCTATTTAAAAAAATGTTTTCAAAATATGTAGGTGCGTTCATCCATCCCGAACTTATCCTAGAAATATTTTGTCTGAAATTGCAAGATTAGGTGTAATCCATAAGCATATACTTGACAAAATATTAGAAAAACTGAATTGTTTGAATTGAAGAAATATTTAAAGATCATAATTTTACAGCAGGTTTTTCAAAATGTGGTCCATCTCCCCAGGATTTACCCTACCTACAATTTTCTACTTAAAGAAAGTTTTCTCTCTTTTTTTTTAGAAATGTTTAACGTAAACATCCTTTATACCACTATAGGTATAACATTATTTTTGTTAAATCTTTACAAAGCAGATATAGCCTTAATAGCCTCAAGAAATTGCTTATTCATATTTTCTAATTTATTATGATGGGTTTCCTTATTATTGTTATGACTATTAAAAAAAAGTTATTATTTAAATGTATGACATTTTCATTAACAACATTTTTGGCAGTCTTAATATTTCTTTTTATGAGTAAACCAGTGGGAATAAATTAGTTTAAAAAGCTTGACTATAGGTATATGATGTTTGCGGCCGACGATTGCATATTATGCATCATATTAACATTGAATTGCGCCTATAAGACAAAAAGACATCATACTCGTACCTTATACATTTTTGCTTTCATATAACTTATATAAGGCAATATTTTGATTATATTTAATTTTTTTGCACCAATTCTTAACTGTATTTTTCGGAAGGTTGCATCAAGTGATATGTCAACATCAACAGCTCTTTGATGAAAATATGTACTTTGGTTGGAAGTCCAAACTGACAAACTACCAAATGCGAAACAAATTATGAGATTTGTCCATTAAGACCTCCGAAAATATCGTGTTGACAGAAAGATTTGGGTTATGTTTACTTTAACCGTTGGGTGTTTGTATTTCATTAAGACCAGTAGTCTCTTCAAACAATGTCAACAAAAAAATTTACTAACCATTAAATAATATTAAACGAGTAACGCACTTTAGTGCCTGCTTCAATTATTGTTTAAAGCTGTTCGTTCACTCACTTATCTTGTGTTAAGTTTCACAACCGCGTGCACTCAAGTAGGTATGTGTTCAGCGACGGCAAAATTACCTATGTACAACCTACATGTACAATATTTTTTCTGTTAATTTTATTATGAAAATGTATTTGAAAATTTATTACAAAATTACAAAATTCACAAAACAATAGAAACATAACAAAAATGTATTAGGAATAATAAAGCAAATGTCTTTTCCGATTGTTTAAAATTTATGTAGGTATTATAAATATGAAATACTAAATACTCAATTTATTTATTTATAATGTCTATAGCCCTTTTTATAAATGTAGAAGAAAAACTTATTATACTCATCTGAGCTGAACTTTAATCAAATGTTTATCAATGGTGGAATAATGGGGGATTGAGAACAACTCACCAGTATCCATTATCGATAAAATCCAGGACTCCTCCGCCACAACGCACAATAAAATTCCACAATCCACACAAAAAGAACCGCCACTTCACTCAATTGAATATTATTCAAACTGCGAAATGTCAACATACAGATATTGATTATAACTTAACCATGAAATTAGTTAATTATATGAAAACAATATGTTCGATTTATTGAAAAAACTAAAGGGATCTATAACGCACAACAGCTGTTCTTTTGAATCTCTCAGACCATTTGAGTGGAAACTTCATGGTCTAAACGTTATATTGATGTGTATGTGTGTGTGTTATTAGAAGCTCCACCTTTGCACGCCTTTATATTATAAAATGGCCGATTTACAGTGTCGGCCAATCAACTTCGTTATGGTTGGGGGATCAGGAGGTTCTTATTGGTCGATTCGATGGGCATGACTGTTCTGAGCTTCAGGGACTAATTAAGGACTCTTAACTGGAAGTATCCTTTGCCCTTTTTTGCCAGTGAATTCAATAAACAGAACAAAGACGAAACATAAATTGTAAATTTTGTAAATTTCCTTTTTTTTAAAAAATCAAAAAAGATATCTACAATTTTTGAAATACATTTATTCGAAATATGTATTTATTCACAAAAACATTTTATTATTCTAGGTATATGTTTTACTAAACAAGCAGAAGTAAATATCATTTAAAATAATGAAAAAATATTGATATTCAGACTATTGAAATTTGTTTCATCAGTGGGTTTTAAGTATTATAGTCGTAATCATCAGGATTGGGATTGACGTATGCAAGGCTTTATTGAGGGTTAAGCAGCTTAGCGGTCGGCCGTAATAATTTTTCTCTGCTGGTGTTACTACCCTGAAGATTTACAAAAGAGCCGTATTTTGGAATTTTCGTGGTAGGCTTTTAATTTATTACATCAGGCATAAATTTGGCAATTTATACTTACCTATATGTATGTATTAATTTTATATTAAAGTGATAATGCAGATCAGTTCATTTGTAAAGAAACATTCTCAAAATACACCTAGCTAAATATTAAAATTAATTAAATTTTTTTTTGATGAAAGCTCAAAAACAAATTTCTGTTACGGACCATCTCTTCCTATAAACCTTTGAAATGTGTCTGTCCATGAACTACCGTTGGGGGGTAATCGTCTTATTCCATAATGAGTCTCAGATATTGTTGGTACCAACTATAAAAGAAAATTAAAAATAATTTACACCTCAGCGTCCGTCCACTCGTCTAAACAAATACAGTGCTATCAAAAAGTCTGTCTATGAAGCAAGCGTAGAAATTTAAAACGTATGTCTGTGGAAGATAAAATGTCACAATGACAAATGAGAAATGTCAAAATATTTTTTATGTAAATTATGGACAGGAAACCGAGGTGAACGATTTTTATGAATAAACACCAACAAGATCTCATTTTAGTTTGTTTTGAGACGTTTCATAGAATAATTCAATTTAATTAGCTCAAGGTTTTAATTTTTATAAAATCATTTTTTGACATCTAGATAACATACGAACTGCCATGCAACATACGTCCTCAACTAGAACGCCTACTTGATAGAAAGACTTTTTGATCGCACTGTATCTAAAATTTTTATTTTTTAACAATAGACTATGCATGGTGCGCCAGAACTCGCGTCCCAGAGAAAAATGCCATGTGAGGTATAAGATACCAGGAACATGGAAAAAATGTTAAAAAGAATTATCTATAAAAATTTCGAAATTATAAGAGTTCAAAATTAGCTCTTTGACTCTATTTATTTCTGCTGGAAAAATAATTTTCCAAGTTTTTTGCTACAGGCTATATATTAGAAGAGGAAACAAGGAAGTTAAATTGTAACTCTGTTTAATGTTATTTGATGGCTTTTATTGACAAAATTTTTGTACCCTTACTAAATAATTATTTAAAAAAAAACATAAAAAGCCTGTTTTGTCCCTAGAAATTTTGTTAAATAATTATCGTTATGTTTTAAAATGGAGATGTTGTCAAAATTTTGACTTATGAATCTTGTGTGTCAAATGTTTGCTCTTTGAAAGCGCTATAATTGAATACCTAAGAACAGACATCACTACCTAAGATCTAAAGTCAAAATTCAGTGCTAATAATTTTGATAGAAACACACCGCAAGTAAGTACAATGTTGTGGACAAAAGTGAGGTTTTTGCTACAAAAACTTTGAAGAAAAAGGATGTATATACAGAAAAAGTTATTTAGCAAAAGATACAGGTACGTACTACGATGATTGACAATAAATTTTTTGTAATTTATTGAAATGAGCTCGCAAGCTTGATGCATTTTGTAATTTCTTCTTCAGCTTTAGTTTCAAAATTGTTATACTTTTTGAACTCGTTCCTCAAAAACCATGCACAAGACACTAATTTAATTGCGTTCTTTCTTTCAGTCTTATATAACTCGCTTACGGTTAGTCCTACAACAAAAATGCAAAAAAACATTTTCGTATGAAATTTTGTAAGCTTTAATTTTGATAAGAAGATAAAAATCGATAGGAGTGATCGTTTCTAAGATATAAACAAAAAACCAAAAAAAAAACTTTTATCCCCCTCCCCCTCCTCGAGCTCGCCCTCCATCTTCGGGGACTTTTGATATATGTCTGTCTATAGGTAGTGTAAAGAAAGCGTTTTAAAAAAAAAACAACTCCCTAAGATTTTTTAAAGACCAATTTGTCGAATTTGACTAGGTTAATTATTTTTTCTGTATTCTTAACAGGTTTCCCTCTA